TGATCCTTCAGAAGGCAAGAAAATGTCTACTGATCATTTTGTAATTTCTTTTGCAAATGTGGACAAGAACTAATGATTGATTTTAGCTAAGCTCTTGCTGATGCTACTACTTTTACCATTTACATATAAAATAGATCTCATCTAAAATCCATTGGAGCTCATTGGAGCACTTCTGGTGTGAAACTATTGCAATGTCTTTCAAAAACATGAAAAAATTATTCTCTATGAAGTTTTTCTCTGGTTTGAGAAGAGACTGTGAAAATGGTACTGTGGAATTTCTCCTTTGCATCTCAGTGATTGCACTTGACATGCAGACATAAAACAGGAAAAACAATGTATGTTGTTAAGTGAAGTCTGGAGCTTTATTGATACAATGAATTGAACAGTCTTAAAGAGAATGTTCAACCACCCTGGTGGCCAACCAGCAGACTCCAGCAATAAGCCCTCTGACCACTCTGCATTTCCCATTGGAAGGAGGATATATAGCCATCCATGTCTTCTGACACTTGTCCTTCAGGGCAGATTCAGGACTCACTTGCAGCAGACCAAAGCCCAGCCTGTCTTGGATACCTCTTCTCAACATACCCAACGTGCTGTTTTACAAACTACCTCTATGCTGTAACCCAGGGTTGTCTCTTACAAGTACACTGACATGATAACTGGACTTTTTGGCAGCTGGCAGCTGAGGGTGAGGGGTAAAAAGGGTATGGTATTGATCAGCTTTGCTTTAAGGAAAAATCACCACCCAAACCTGAAGGAGTGATGAGCCTCAGCCTGAGCAAGGAAGGCAGTCAGAACTGGTGGGACAAAGCCCAGGAATATAACCACAAAGAAAAAATGAAGCCACATTTCTGGAGGGATAGGGTTGTAGCTATCAGCATCCCATCGTGCTTCTGTTGATCAATTCATAACTTGGTGGAGGCAAAGGGAAGCAGAAAGACCTTGTGCAGTGAAACACTTTAGTACCAAACCCAAAGGAAGGAGGAGAGGGAGGGTCTAGTTACTGCCCATCCACTCCCACCTTCCTCCTTGCTGGCTGCCTCCAGCACATCATTCATGAAAGACATTAAAACTAGTTCTGTAGTTGCTCTTCCACCACCCTGGTGTCTGCTTTCTCTGCAAGCTGAGATTGGTTGTTGGAAGTCTTCAGGCTCCTACCTCCCTGGTGTGCCTGCCCACAGATCTCCCTCCTGCTACCCTAACACTGCCTGGTGTGGCTGTGAACCACCAAGGCTCTGGAGGGATGCAGGAGATGCAGCTCTCTGTGCAACAGGCACCACATAAAGTTGCATCAGTGGCTTCTGTAGTCCAGTGTTCTATGACATGCCAGTCAAGCATCTTTCTTTATGGTACAAAATCAGGGAACAGGATTGTCCTGGGGTGTTTGTTTTTAACTGGGGCAGTTAATAGTTTGCACATAGTCATACCTAAGGGTTTGCTATTTTATTTATCCAGGACACTGCAACGTAATGTGATTGTCTTGAATACTGGAGAGCTGTAGGGCACCTTATGGCAGCAGGAGACTATGGGCTGAGGCTGCATGCTTTGACATGGTACTTTTGGTAACCCATGGGGAGAAGAGGTGCCACACAGACTTAGCAGTGCTGTCCACAAAGTAGGCAGTATGGTCCCTCTCTCCACAGGGAGCTGGAGCACATCTGCCTGTTTCCCTGCTGAGGTCTGGATGCCCAGCCCCTGAGACTCTTACTGATGAATGCAGATTACCCAATTGTATCCAAACATTTCTCTGATCTCTGAAAAAACACCATAAATCAAGACAGCAAATGCAGGGCCTGGGCTGGGGGTACCAAATAGTTGTCTTGTCAATGTTTTGGCTGTATCTAGCCCCATGTTTCATTATTAAAGGTTTTGTTTTGGTCTTTTTTTAATTGATTTTTTGGCCTATTTTGCTTCTGAATGCAGGTGCTTTCAAACCCTTGACAACCCAGAGTGCATTTGCTCTGGGTAATACATTGAAGACACACATGCTGGGAGGCTGAGGGGCTTTTAGTGTGTCATTGGAGCCCATGCGGGTCTGCCTTACTTAGCAAACATTAGCAGCAGCAGTCAGATGAGAAGCCTGATAATAAATCTCCAGTGAGGTTCAAGAGGGGACAACCTCACCTTGCAGCCCTGCTGAAATTCCAGTTTAATCACTGAGGTATGAAAGACGTACAAGGATGGAAAAGAGGGAACAAGCTTAAACTCAGCTTAATTTTAGCATTTAGAAGTAACACTTAAAAGCTGTAGGTTTTGTTAATTACTTTGGCATTTGCACGGATTTGGATGCTGGTTTCTCATTCAGCCCCCACAGAACCAGATTTTAGAAGCAATTCCCCTAGACATGGAAAACAGGAGTATTGTCAAGTATCTTCATGGAAAGTTCACTTGTCAAATCTAAGATGTTGTAGTTTCACTGTGTTAAAACTGAAACAGGATAAAATTCTGCATGGTGCACATTAGCCAATTCACCTCCACATATTGTCACAGTTACAGTGCTTTATTTTGGCTTTTCCCAGAGGGGCCATCCAGTTATTCCCCACTGCTAGCTCTCCTGCAAGGCAGTGACAGGGCTAACATGCTTCCTTTTCCTGTTGCTCAGTCTCATCCCTGGCATTTTTTTGTCTTAGTTTAACAGATATTTATGGGTTTTTCAGTGCCTTTCTTGCCAGTATTCTCCAGTGGACTCTCAGGTAATCACATGTGTGGCCAGTGAATTATTTTGCACTCTGCTTAGCAGCCTGGGAGGTGTGTGCCACCTGGAGAAACTGCTGGGTGAACAGCCTAGGAACTAAAAATCATAGCAGTTTTCTGAGCATCTCTAGATAGGATTTTGAGTGGCAAGATTGTTGAAATGGGAAAAAAAGATATCTTCTGGGTTTTTTTTCCTTTATGGAGGTCACCTTAAAATTTTCCTGTGGGACAGGGGAGGCTGGAAATATTCTTGTATGTTCACAGCTTTGGGAGATGTGTCATCAAGAGCACCACCAGGTTAGGGTACACTGTTCTGTTGTGGCAAATAATATTTTGTGGAAGGGCACATACTATTTCTTTAAAAATCTATCCTGGGGGAGATGAGGGAGAGTTCTTTGCAGAAACATTTGCATGAAGCAGTGTGATAGAGCAGCCAGGGAATATACTGCATGCTAATAAAGTTCCTTCTTTGGTGTGAAAAGTGCATGCTTTGTGAGTGACAGTGGGTCTTTTTTACCTTTTGACATTCTAACTTGACCCATAATGAGGCATCCACCAGCATGCCTTTTCAGCCCTTTCCAAAGAGCTGCCAAAACTAAAGAGATGATTTTTTTTTTTTTTAGAATAATCTGTGACCCAGCAAGGTTGACTGTAAGGTTTGTTTGTTTTTCTCTCTCCCGCTGGTTCCTACTATTCTCTTACTCCCACATCCTATCCGACTCTTGTTTTCAAATGCATTCTTCAGCCTTCTCCTTCCCTACCTACTGCATCCTGTGTTCTGCTTTCTGACTTCCTTCTCTTTTCTTATAGCTTTTCTTTCCAGTTCCTTTTCATTCTGGTCCCTGAGGAGTAAGGAGTGAAACATTAACAGTTGCTGGAGTACCAAGTTAATATGTCTGTTGTTATGAGTGTAGAGTTCAGGTGAGGGCTCTGGAAGACATCCTCTGTGTGCAACATTGTGCACCACTTCATTGCTGGGCCAGCAGAGAGGAATGTGTATCTGTGCTTCACCCACTACCATCTACAGTCCAGCATTTAATATAAAAATACCAATAAAAGTTGATCTCTTATCCAAAAGATATGGATGTTCCAGTTACCGCAAGTCAGTTAACAGGAGTTAAAAGAACTAGAAAAGTTTCAGACATAGGGTAAGCAAAGCAAGTGGATTTGAATCATCATATGTGTCTTGATAGGGGATATGGGAGTTGTAGGCACTGTGACAGAGGTTTGGAAAACATGTAATTTCACAGCAAATTCTGTGTGCATACCTGTTTCTTTTCTAAGCTGGACTGCAGCTTTTACAATGGGCTTTTAGATTGGTAGGAGATACATCCCTGTGTTATCTGTACCTCTGTGTCAATTGTGGATCCCCATCCTCATAAATCCATGCTTATAACGTGCAGGAACTTCATGTGCTGATGTCAATGTATCCTGAATATAAATCACAGGTGTAAAATACTTACATTACTAATAATTTCTCCATTGAAATGTTGCATGGATAAGGCTGGAAAATGTAAGTCTGAGAATACATCTAATTTGTGTATTGCAAGCTTCTATGTTGTCTGAAAAAACAGCTTTACAGACCATATAGAGATGAGCATTTTCCAGATGAGGTTAGCTATAGCCAAAGGCTTGAATAGTCTGATCCTTATGGTTGACAAAATCTGTTGTTGTAAATGGAAACGTGTCTGGAAGAAGAAGCTTTTTAATGTAATAGTCACTCTGCTGGCAAATTTATCCTGCTGCTAATTTCGTATGCCTGTGATGCCCAGATGGTTATCAGTTGTGTGCTAATGTAATCTCCTGTGCTCCTGGTTTATTTATAACCAGGACTGATCCATTCATGCATGGCTGCATATGGCCATTAGTTTTCATTTTTATCTTGTTTTACACATTTTTGTTTATGCAAGACATAAGGAAGAATCGACCTTGTAAAACAAGTTGGGTATAAACAGATTGGTGAGAAGATAATACCTGTCCTTTTGGGATATCATGTGCTTTTACCAACATCATCCTAACAGAGAAATAATTGTAAAGAAATTAAAACCTCATGTATTTGTTATCTATACATGTATAAAATTTCACCGTGTTTCAGATTTTTGAGTGATTTTATATATTTTTCAGTTAACTTTCGTAATTTAAAATATTTGGTTTGGGAATGTAACTGTTGTAGGTGAGTAGGTAGGTATTTCTTGAAAGACCACCTATTAAAATCAAAAAGAAGATAAAATGAAAGTGATTTTGAAACCAGAGAAATACACACACACACACACACAGTTTAATGCATCTCTTCTATCTTGTTTCAGGTTGAAGAAACTTCTGGAGCAGGAGAAGATCTATCAAGCCCGGAAGGAGAAGGAACATACAAAGAGAATCAATAAATTAAGAGAAGAACTAGTCAAACTCAAATCATTTGCACTCATGCTGGTGGATGAAAGACAAATGCATATTGAACAACTTGGTCAACAAAGCCAGAAAATACAGGACTTAACCCAAAAACTAAAGGAAGAAGAAGAAAAGCTTAAAATTATTAGTGCAAAAACAAAGGAAGATGGACAAAAACTGATGAAGTTAGAGGCAGAACTTGAACACAAAACATCATCGTTTTCTCAAGAACATGAGGAGATGACTGCTAAACTGGCTAATCAAGAGTCACATAATAGACAGCTAAGGCTTAAGCTAGTGGGATTGACTCGCAGAATAGAGGAACTTGAAGAAACTAACAAAAATCTTCAAAAAGCTGAGGAGGAACTTCAAGAACTAAGAGATAAAATAGCAAATGGGGAATGTGGGAACTCTAGCTTAATGGCAGAAGTGGAAAACCTCCGAAAGCGTGTGCTTGAAATGGAGGGGAAAGATGAAGAGATCACAAAAACTGAATCCCAGTGCAAAGAGCTGAAAAATAAGCTGCAAGAGGAAGAGCACCATAGCAAAGAGTTGAAACTTGAAGTGGAGAAATTGCAGAAAAGAATGTCAGAATTAGAGAAGTTGGAAGAGGCTTTCAGCAAAAGTAAGTCTGAATGCACCCAGCTACACTTAAACTTGGAGAAAGAAAAGAATTTGACTAAGGATTTGATAAATGAGTTGGAAGTGGTGAAGACTCGAGTGAAGGACCTTGAGACATCAGAAAGCAAGTTGGAAAAGGCTGAAATCAGCTTAAAAGATGACCTTACAAAGCTGAAGTCGTTTACTGTGATGTTGGTTGATGAACGAAAAAATATGATGGAAAAAATAAAACAGGAGGAAAAAAAGGTTGAGGGTCTAAACAAGAATTTTAAAGTTGAACAAGGGAAAGTTATGGATGTAACAGAAAAACTAATAGAAGAAAGTAAGAAATTTTTGAAACTGAAATCTGAAATGGAGGAAAAAGTGTCTAGTTTGACAAAGGAAAGGGATGAGTTAATTGGCAAACTGAGAAGTGAAGAAGAAAAATCCTCTGAACTAAGCTGTAGAGTTGACCTGTTAAAGAAAAGAATTGATGGTATGGAGGAAGTAGAAAGAGAAATTACAAGAGGCCGAAGCCGGAAAGGACCAGAGCATGGTTGTCATGAGGACAACAAGATTAAGGAACTTACCATTGAAATTGAAAGACTGAAAAAACGTCTCAAACAACTGGAAGTGGTCGAAGGAGATTTGATGAAGACAGAAGATGAATATGACCAGCTAGAGCAGAAATTTAGGACTGAGCAGGATAAAGCTAACTTTCTTTCTCAACAGTTGGAGGAGATGAAACTCCAAATTGCCAAAACCAAAGCAATAGAAAAAGGTGAAGTGGTGAGCCAGGAGGCAGAGCTGAGGCACAGGTTTCGTCTGGAAGAAGCCAAAAGCAGAGATTTGAAAGCAGAAGTTCAAGCTCTTAAGGAAAAAATCCATGAGCTGATGAACAAAGAAGACCAGCTTTCTCAGCTCCAAGTCGATTATTCAGTTCTGCAGCAAAGGTTTATGGAAGAGGAAAACAAAAACAAGAGCATGGGGCAGGAAGTTATGAACCTAACAAGAGAGCTGGAGCTTTCTAAGCGTTACAGCCGTGCCCTGAGGCCCAGCATAAATGGACGAAGAATGGTTGATGTTCCCGTGATGTCCACTGGTGTGCAAACAGATGCTGTAAGCAATGAAGCAGCAGAAGAAGAAACTCCAGCAGTGTTTATAAGGAAATCCTTCCAGGAGGAAAATCATATCATGAGCAATCTGCGACAGGTAGGTCTGAAGAAACCCATGGAGCGTTCTTCAGTGCTCGAGAGATATCCTCCAGCAGCGAATGAGCTTGCTATGAGGAAATCTTGGATACCATGGATGAAAAAGAGGGAAACTGGGGCTCAGGCAACTCCTGAGAAAGGAGCCCGAACCCACAGTAGTCCAGCACATCCTGGGGAGGTTGTCCTTTCACCAAAGCAGGGTCAACCTCTTCATATTCGGGTGACACCAGACCATGAGAACAGCACAGCTACTTTGGAGATAACCAGTCCCACCGCAGAGGAATTTTTTTCAAGTACCACTGTCATTCCTACTCTGGGAAATCAGAAGCCACGAATAACCATCATTCCCTCTCCAAACGTTATGCCACAAAAAGGAAAAGGCAGTGAAAGTCCCATGGGCTCAGATCGTTCTATGTCTCCAGTCACTATAACAACATTCTCCAGGGAAAAGTCCCCAGAGGGAGGCAGAGCACCCTTTGCTGACAGACCTGCATCACCAATTCAGATTATGACAGTATCAACATCTGCAGCACCGGCAGAAATATCTGTCTCTCCACAGTCACAAGATATGACCATGGGAAGGGCTGTCTTCAAAGTAACACCAGAAAAGCAAACCGTCCCAACTCCAATCCGCAAGTACAATGCCAATGCCAATATTATTACGACAGAAGACAACAAAATCCACATCCACTTAGGTTCCCAGTTCAAACGTTCTCCCAGTGCTGCACCTGATGGTGCAAGTCCTGTGATAACAGTCAGACCAGTGAACATAGCAGCAGAGAAAGAAGTTGTAACCGGTACCGTCCTTCGATCGCCTCGGAACAACTTGTCCTCGCGACCTGCAGCAAGCAAGGTGACAAGTACTATCACTATAACACCTGTTACAACATCTTCCACCCGAGGAACACTATCAATGGTAAGCAGCATAGTCTCATGATGCAGTATTTCTGGTAAGGAAAAGGGCAACCACAGTTTGGGTTTGAGACACCAGCAGGGAAAATGGGTGGAGTGAGGAGAAACTTTTGACTTTTTCAAATACAAGCTTATTTGTAAAATCAGAATTTGCCCAATTCATATATTTTTGTACCAGAGTTGAATGCTGGGACACTTTTGGCATTGTCTGCCAAAGCAGTAACTTTCAGAGGAAGCCCCTTCAAATTTCCTTTAAAGTTGTTTTCATAATGGCAATCCAGTAAAATTGCAAGTGAGAGACAGAGGGACAAAGAATGATGGAGATGACAGAGCAGGAAACTGTATTTTTATTTTTGGTGAGTGCAGTTTCTGACTTCTGAAAATACCAAGTTTTTTGGCTCAGCTGGTGGGTCTTTAGACTCTGATCACACAGGCAGATGTTTCTTTGGTATAATCCCATTATAGTCATAATTCAATTAATGTGTTTTATATTACTGAACTCCAAAGGCATAAATATGCAGACATAGTATCATTGCTTGCAGCTCCAAGCCTCTTTCATCAGTGACTAGTAAAGCTCTTTCTATTCCTCTGAAATTCTCAACTTCTGCAAGTGCTGTATTACAATAGTGCTTCCTCTAACATATGTTTTGCTGTTTTCTCTCTGTGCTTCTGTGGTGATACCCCAGCTTCTTTTTTGTACTTAAATCAGCCTCTCACCTCTATCTTTAACCATAGTGGGTAGTATTTATTGTTAGTCATCCCCCTGGGTTATTATTGGGCATATTTTTTTACTTTTAGTTGGAAATACCCTGGGAAAGAAGAATTTAACAAAAATAGAAAACCAGCAGTACTGTGTTAGCCCAAAAACTTAGCTAGACAGAGTCTGCAACAGATGCTTAAGGGAAGATTAAGTGGGTAAACACACAGTAATGTTTCCCTCAGTGTCTGTTCCCAGTTTTTGGCAATAGGTGGTTATTTTTTTCTGAACCAGGGCCTGTAGCCACATCTTTGTCTTTAATAGACCGTGGCGGAGTTTTCTTCTATTTATTCTTTTAATTGCTTTTTGAACTCATTTAAACTGTTGTTTCCACAACATCAGGGGGCAGTGAATGCAGTTGTGGGCTTTGGGAAAAATGCTCCTTTGTTTGATACCTTTTATGCAATACCTTCATTGGTTACAGCCTCTTTCATGTATCTTGACAAATACTGAATAATCATCCCCTGTTCACTTGTCTGTGCTCAGGAGTCTGCAGACCCCTACAACACGCCTCTTCAGCCACCTCTTTCCCAGCTGAAATGTCAAAGTGTATTTAAGATACACTTCCACACTTTTGGAGAGAGGCTGCCATTCCCAGTTAAGCCCTCTGACTCAAGAAAACTTGCATTCATCATACAGATCCCTTTGGGATTGCACATGTGCTGTCTCTCTCCCCATATATGTAATGTACTGTAGATATTCTACTGTACACTGTTTTCCTGCATATTAGAGGCAATTGTTAATTTTTTTAAAAAGTCTTGAAATAATTAATTTACAAACTCCTTTGTCTCTCAGAAGCTTGGAAAACTTTTTTTTTAAACTTTTCTTTTTAACTAGATGTCTGTCTCTACTGTGATGATGCACTGAACCGTGGCAGACAAAACTTTTTTGTTTTGTTTCCTTCTGGCTAAAAACTGGTTGCTTTCTTCACTGCATCCTCCCCGATTTGGAATGTAAGGAAAATAGTTCAGCCATAAGATTTACTTTATCTTATGCTTCCTTTTGCTTTTTAACATCCCTAGTCAGATGAGCAGGCAACTTTGGACATGCCCAAATGTGCCTTTTCCTCCTCAACTCCCTGAAAAAAACCCAAACAGGAGTTGTGTATTCACCATCTGTTTTACAAAAACATTTCAAAACCCCTACTCAGAAAAAAAACAAGTTGTGATCATTTACTCAGTAACCCTAGAAGAAACCAACATTGATACAATTTTGAGGGGTTAAGTTAATAAAAACACACATGACAAAATGATACTTAGCTGCTTCCTTAGCTCACTGGGTTTAATTTTTCTCTTAGCTTGTCTCATACAAGATGCTTTGTACAATGTACTGATGCAGTGCCAGGCTACAAAGGGAAAAATAAGTCTGAAATTCCTAGCTCTCATCTGTTCCTATAACAGATTTGCAGTTACTGTTTTCATATTTGAAAACATTTAGCTCTTCTTTCAATTTGAATTTATAGTTATTGGTAGTACTGCAGGTTCACACACAGTAGTTTTGAAGGTCCAGCCTGAGCTGTAGCGAGTCCAAAACCAGAAACTGTGTTTTCATTATGGACCATCATGATTTATGAATCCCATGAATCCCATGGATTAAGGGATATTCTGTTTGTGTTTATTTGCACTGACATACATACACTCTAGAGTATCTAGAGATTTATATTCTCCTGATCCAAGTCCTCTTCTGAGTCTGCAACAGGTTTGATTTAGATAAAATGAGACCCTGATCCAAAGAAAGACCACAGGCATCTGAAGGAGAACTTGGGAAATTTCTGAGCACATAGTCAAAAAGAACCAAAAAAGTCAGTGACTGTATCTCCACTGGTACTTGAACTCACTAGACCAAAATGCTTTGGAGGCACTTCATGTTGTGCCTGCTGCACAAGCCCAGGGCTGGTCAGTTGAGCAGCTGACCTCATCACACCAGTGTTGTCAGTCAGTGTGGTCCAGTCATACAGGGTAGGCTGATCTGATGGAGACTGTTTGACCAGTTGGATTGAATTCCACGTTTAACAGAACCATTGTCACTTTGATGAAAAAAAATAAGGACCAAACCCTAAGCTGGTAACTGTCTTTTCTATGGTAGCCTGTGGATTTGGCTAATTCCTATAGAAGTGGAAAAAATGGGATTTGGTCCTCCTTCGCTTGACTAGAGTCAAACCAATTGCCAGGAAAACACTTGGATTACCCTATCAGACCTAGAAGATGGGTTTTTGTTACAGATGGACCACAGAGACTAGAGGATATGGAGACCAAAATGAACCTGAAACTGTAGTCTGGTTCTTAGTCTTGCCTTAGCACATTGGTCCAAATTCCTGTTCCTGGGACAGTTCATACAGTTTACAGTAAAAATCCCACATAATAAAACCAAATATTCTTTGGGAAAAAATGCCAAATAACTGTGGTGCCTATGTCCTGGTTTTCAATATAGGCTTTACATTTGATTGCAGGATTGCTGGTGAATTTGAATCTTCTTTGGCTTCCAGTATGGGTGTCAGTCCTTTAATCACTCAAGCCCTGTGCTCTCCACCTCCTACAAGCTTGGCATCAAGCACCAGCTGTTTATGCTGCCAGGGTACACAGTGACTTCAGTGCCATGAAAATCTGCAGGAAGCAGAGGGAATCCTGGCTGCAGCAGAGCCAGCATAGTGGCATGGCACCAACCATGCAGAGTGTCCTGTGACTGAGGCAGGAAGGCACAGCTGGGAAGCTGTTAGGTGCCAGAGATGACTGGGCACGAGTTTATGCAGCTCTAAGGCAACTTGCATTTGGGCAGCATTTAGTTTTGAGATCTGCACATAAAGGTAGCTCTTTGGAGGTGTCCCGTGTATGCTCTAGGCTTCTGTTAGAGCTACTGGAGATCCAGGGGGCAGCTCACTTGCCCATACAGAGCATGGATGAGGCTGGTAGGTATAACACACACCTGTACCTTTCTGCAGTGGCAGGTCATGGGATACCTCAGATGGCACAAGATGCCTCAGTGTGGGCAACTGAGTCAGTCTGTAGTCATCAGTCCCCTTGTCAGCACTGAGGCCTGTGTGCTCTCTCTGTGGAGACTGGAGGGTGATTCAGCTGAGACATGGATAGCTTCAGCATGAGCTGAATTGCCCACTGGGCTTCATTGACTGTATTGACTAGATCTCAAGTCCTACCCTTTCATGATTCAGTCACCTAAACATACTTTTTTTAGTGCTGTCAAGTAGCCTACCTAAGTTCCAGCTGCTTTATCAGAGGTTGCAGGTCTCCTTGGGTCCTCTACCAGCCCTGTACTCATAGCTTGAGTAGCCCAGGGCATCTGAAATTGCACTGGGTATCTGCTCATCACTCAACTGAACTGTTTCTGTCCAGGGCAAGCTGTGCCCTGATCTGATTGGGAACAAATGCTGGAAAAGCACCTTTGTTATTAAAATATTCCAGAAATCAATGCGTGCATGAAAGCACTCTTTTTGTGTGTCAATAAAATTCACTAAGCAGGACCTGTTATAAGCTACTAAAACATGCTAAATGCTCTGTACATTCAAATTGCTTTACTTCCCTTAATTGGACTGTCCAACCTTACTGCAGCTTTGCAGCCTAATACACCTGCCCGTGTCGGAAGTGAGCACTGATTACTAACTGCAGCTGTGTGTATTCACCTCTCTCAGTAATGTCTTTAGGAACCTCTCTCGGGCCCCTGTGCTGTTCCAGCACCACGTACTGCCCTGCCAGCTCAGAGCCAGCCTGTGTCACCCTGCATCCCACGGGGTCACATCTCAGGCGCTCCGTGCCGGCTGCGTAAGAGTTGGCTTTTGGTTGGAGCCACATTTCTGGATCAACCAGAAGACAGCAGCCTACAGATGAACAGGGCTGGAAGGAACAGCTTAGAGCTTGGTTCTTGGAAGAAATGATGAAGAAACAGACAGTCGTGTGGGTTCTCTGCCACAGACACTACAGACGTGCAGTGGAGAGTGTCCTCTGCTTGCCTGCCCCATCACACGCCAAAGGGAGCTGCTGGCTGGAGAGCCACCTTTGTGCCATTTCACTTCGCAAACACAAAATGCTTTTGCAGCTGCGTGTGAAGCAGGCATTAGCCTCCCTACGATCATCAGCAAGTTAGTATGCTGCAAGGAAGGCAACTAAGAAACTTAAAGCAAGTTCGAGTTCTTTTCAAAGTGCTTTTGAGCGATTTAGGCTTGAAATGAGTAACTTGAAAGCGCCCAAATCCTTAGTTAATAATTTACATGTGAATAAAGCTGAAGAAATGCCTGAGATTCCAGCTACTCCATTTGATTGCCTCATGTTTACACACTGTGGAACTCTTTCAGGGAGTACAAGATGTTTGTCATTTGGGTTCCCTGGGATGTTGACATATTTTCCAAGGCTGATGGAATGCATTTGCATGTTTTGCCCTACAGAATTGTATGGGCCTAACTTGTTTTGACATCTACATGTGAGTTCCATATTAGCCTTTAGACTGCTATTGTAAATGTTGCTTTTAGTTATTGAAAATGGCTTCCTTCCTGTCAGGCAGACAGCATTCAAGTTTTCCAATTGTGATTTTTTTTGAGTGTACACATGGGGTTTCGAACTGTTCTTAGAAGATTAAGGAACGGTTTTCCTTTGCATACTCAGGATGCAGACAGAAAGACCTGATGCTACTGGCTAGAAAACCTTTGAGAGAGAAAAATGCTCCTTCAATGAGCATTTTTAAGAGCATTTTAAAGTAAACGTGTGAATGCATGTGGCAGCTGATGCGATCCCCTAATCCAATCTATTTCAGAACTATAGTCTTATTTTGCTTGCTTGTATGTCATAAATTACAGAGCTTAGTCATTTAGCAGGTGAGTCTAGCTAGAATTCCAGGATCTTACAAGAACTGTTCTCTTTTGTGAGATCAAAGTCTTCATCCATTATCTGACTAAAAAACAGTCGCATATGAAATTCAACTGAGACACTGAAGTTGTCACTGTTAACATTTGTGTCTGTATTTATCACTGCTGGAGACCACCCCCCATTTTCCTTTCAGAATTGTCATGTTTATATTACATATGTTTTCTTTAGGTCATAGTTCATACAGGGTATCTTCCAGTTTTGACCTTGCAGGATATGTGTGTCGTTCTCTGTACCACAGAGACAGAAAATAGCAGTTGGCCCTTTTGAATCTTTTTGTTCCTATACATGTGCATCTACACATTGGGATTCAGTTGCCTAAGGATGTGACTGCATTTTCAAAGCTATGGGATAGCTTTGCCTGGCCTCCAGCTGTGGCTCCAGAAGGGCATAGGAGCTGTGTTGGGACTGTCAGACCCAGGCCTACCAGTTAGACTTTTTTTTTTCCTTCAGTTCTGAAGTAATCAAAATTGAAGATGTGTGCTTGGTAAGCTGTAGTTCAGGGCAGCATGCTGGCAGAGATAGTAAAATGACCATGTACACAACTGCCTTGAGGTTTCCCTGGAAATCTGGGCTGGCAGCTTCACCCTCAGCAGAATTCATCAAGTTGTGGCTAGGAAAAGAAAATTCAAATCTCTGTTCTCTCTCTCTCTCCCAGTGCAGGAATACATGGTCCCAGCCATGGCCCCAGCCATGACCCCTTTCATTCAATTTTATCTATAATGCTGAGTGATCTTGTCCCATCTCTGAAAATACGGCAGTTACCCTGGGTTCAGCATCAGCCTCTCATAGTTATACACTCTTGAGAGCCTGTGCTAGTCTCTGTACAAGATGCTAATACCCTGTCTGACAGCTAAGCCAATGTTCCAGTAGCCTCTAAGGACATCTCACACTGTGTCATGCTGTGGGATGGGAGTTTTGCACGGATTCCCATACCTATGACATCCTGATCCAAAACACCAGACCTCAGCTCTAGGAAACATGTTTGATCTTGACTGTAGCTTTGGCCTTACTATAGCAGTATGTGCCATGGCCAGATTCTAAATCTAAACATTACTTTGCAGATGGGTATGATTTGGGATATTGTTGCTTGAGAGATAAATGAAGAACCAACGAAAAGTATAAGATGAACATATATGAGAAGAGAAAAAATCCTTCATTCATGGCATTTTTCTCTGTGTCTCTCTTTTGCAGACAGGACAGGATGGGTCGTCCCCGAGACCTACACCCACCCGCATTCCTGTGTCAAAAGGTATGAAAGCAGGAAAGTCAGTAATGGCAGCCCCAGGAGCAGGAAATGTGACAAAATTCGAGCCTCGTGCCGAGACTCAGTCTATGAAAATAGAACTGAAGAAATCTTCAGCCAGCAGCTCTACCTCCTTGGGCGGGGGTCAGGGCTGATGGAGGTGGCTCAGGGGGTATGTTCTGCAGGTTTTGCTGCTACCATGGAAGTCAGCCCCCCCTTGTCTGTGTAGCTGCTCACGTTTGCCTGTACTAACGAAGTCCTGCAGCTGTCACTTACAAGAAACTAATAAGTGTGTGCACTGACTACTTAACAACATCCTTTTGCTTTCTTACTCAAGTTTAAAAGAGGAAAAAAAAAGCCATCAAAAAGACCATTGTACAGCCGAAAGATTTTCAGTCTAAGAGGAGAGAATGGAACAACTGCACTAGGTTATTAATCTAGTTCAGGAATTTTTAATGATAGACATGGTCACTTTTTAGTAGATCAAAGGAAGTTTGGTCAGTTTTACTAGATTGTCTTCCACCTTAACCGATCACTTTCCACCTTTGCTACTGCATGGGCCACTTTCCTTCCTGCCTGTGATCATATTATTGAAATGCCACATGGCCTAGGGAAGCAATGCCAGGAGAGAACGTACTTGAGGTCCTGTTTTACTGGCAGCTAGTACCTCAGGTGTGGGAGGAAGGGGAAGAGAGAAAGGATGGGCACCGTGTGACCAGCCTTCTCCTTAGGAGCCTCCCATCCACATCAGCATTCCTCAGTGGTGAGTGGCTTTAGTTACAAAATTCAGGGGCATAGGGAGGTTGCGAAATGTTTGGTGGCAGCAGTGTTAAGCAGCAACTTAATTCTTCCAGAAGGGGTTAACACTTGTAGGCAGTACTTAGATCCAGGTCCCTGAGTTACACGCACTGGGATACTGCCAATTTAGGGCTCAGATTAAGGCACGTGAGCCAAAAGGTATTTAGTCTCTCGCAAAGGCTTGAGAAACACTGATCTGGCTAAAATCAATATAGTCCATTTGTGCCTGCTCCAAAGACCACTAAAGGCTATGAAGCAAGTCATTCCATTGACCTGACTAGGTTTCCAGTTTTCCTGGTTGGGATCTTATCCAAGCATCTTTATGTCTTAGAGGGGAAGTCAGCACAGACTGCTCATGGAATTGCTATCTAAAGGTACAGCTCAGCTACAGACAGTGAAAGAGAGAGGGTTTGGTACGGAAGTTACTCACAGTTTTCAGATGTGTAAAATATTTTGTCATAAATACAGATGGTCTCACAATACCATGGCAACTCATTGTTTTTCCTTCCTTCTCTGTGATTTCCTCATTTATATGTTTGCATTTTTAAGCATGTTTTAAGGAATTGTTCCAGCATGGAAATGGTGTGGATGCCGATGATTGTTGTGATTGTTTATTTAATAACAGTAAAGTTATTAAAGGACATTTCCATTAAGCAATCAATTTCCACAGAAGAAAGTCACAACCAAAAGAAATGGAGCCAAACAGACAGAAAAATGATGATTTTAAAGCTTGCACAATTCTTCAACCACCACAGCAAGCTGTGAAGGACCCAGTGGTTAGAACAGCTTTCAGAAAGCAAGGGGGGAAGACCACCAATAAATCATAAATACAATTCACAGAAAAGAAAATGCACCAGTGGGTAAATATGAAATGGCTTTCTGTCTGAGAGAAGAGATTTCATGGAAGAATCTGTCACAGGTCAACAAAATTATGTTCAATCCAAGCAATGTTTAGTCTTCATTCTGCACTTTGCATTGCTCTCCAATTTAAGACCCTGATATGGCAATTATCCCACCATAAAGCTGGCATTTTATTATTCACAAGAAGGGCATTCTTTTCTTTGGTGTAAAGCTGCTGCCACACCAGAAAAGAAGCAGGTTTCTTTTTTTTCCCCACTTGTAGCACCTGCAATACCTGTTAATATTAAGGTTCTGGTTCCTATGGCATCCAAAAATCAGATTTGTTTTAGTAGCATTTTTCATAATGCCGCATTCCCAGTATTTCAGATGAAACTAGGAAACTGGAATTAGCAAGCAACGTGAGCTACTATGCCAGAAATACATCAGATCCTCTCAACTAATTCTTATCACTTAAAAGCCTCAATATGTCAATAAATTGTTGCTGAGATCTTACTGTTCTTATTGTAACATGGAATTTTTAACAGATGTTTGAAGAAAACACATTATTAAGAGCTTTTTCTGGATCTCCCTCTAAACACTGGCACTGAAGCAAATCTTCAAGTCAAAACAGTCATTTAAATAATACTGTGAACATGAGCCCAAGCTAATGTGGCTTGATACAGTGATGAACTACAGCTGCCTTGAGCCTTCCTTGTGTCAAAGAAACTTAGTTTGCTAGTTAACTGTTGCTATACCCAAGGCAATGTTCTATGCCAGCCTGTGGTTGAAAAAATTGTTTATGTTTGAGGTCTAAGAAACTAATTCACCTGAAGAAACAAGCCAGCCTTACAGTAGCCATATCCAGGACACACAAACTGGCACAATTAGAGCCAGAACTGCAGGCACAAGCTGGGGACTGCTCCTGTAGAGTCAGAAGGATATCATGAGACAGACTTGAGAAATTCCAGACAGGTCAGACTGAGGATCCTGTTATTTTTCCCAGGGGCAGCACAACAAAAAGGAGCTTTTCCTCCACAGCAGAAGCCTAAAGGCAGCTGGTTTAACTGTTAGCTAAAATTAGGTATTTAGTTATAACTTTTAATTCTGTTTTAATTGACCTGAGATTCTTGTTTCTTAAAGGTGAAAAAAGGGTAAGATGAAGAAAATAGAAAGCCTATAGTTCAGAAATCTTAAAAGTTGAAGCATAAATGCCTGTATTTTATTGAAATTTCCTCTGAATCTGTAGACAGTTACTTTTAGTGACTGCAGTAAGATTCTCCATTCAGTAGGTCAGCTCCAGAATGCAATTTAAACAACCTAGTCTAAAGACAGTGCCTAAGCCCCAGAGGCATCCTGAAGATGTTCCTGATGTTCTTCCACTGCCCTTGTCAGTGTTTCTTTTGTGACCTAACTAACACTACAACCTCTGAACCTCACTGAGATCCATAATTCAGGTATTCTTGCATTTCCTCTAAGGGATTTTAATTCCAGCCACAGTTTTATGGTCACTTAAAGTCAGGTTGTAACCCCACACTGGAGTGAAAAGCTGTAGTCCTGTCTTTGTCACCTCCAGCCAAGAAGGTGGTTGTCCCTTGAGCTGGCACAAGTGCTTGAACTTAACTGGGGAACTGATCTGAATTAAAAGGAACCTGGAAAAAGCATAAAGGTTAGCTTTAATGTAGCTTAGTTCCAGACTCTTCGGCTAGAAAAAGAAAGAAGGATGGCATAGGAAACAGGTGGCTGTTTTAAAGTGACTGTGGAATCATGAATGCCTCCCAGCAGATCAAATACCACACAGATGCAGGGGTAGTACTGCTTATTTAAAAAAGCTTTTAATTGAAACCTTTCTTCAAAGGTAGGAGACAGGTCCCCCTTCTCACTAATATCTGAGGAGGCTCGAACCCACACCAGCTGCAGGCAGGTTCACTAGTGGCACTGACAGACAGCCGAGGGGGAAGAAGGTGTCATTCTCACTCCCTCCCCTAAAGGCTGTGCCGTTCTGCATGGAGAGCTTCAATATTCACTAAGCAGAAACAAGAGAGTGCTTGAGTGGTCAGGATATTGAACTAGGAGGAGGGAGCCCCCCCGGATTTGTGTCCCTGTTCCAAAGGCTGCCTTTGAGCTTAGCCTTTTGTGAAAAGGAGGCTTATAAGATGAAGTGTCTGTGTTCATCCATCCCTCCATCAGTCCTTCCCTGATGAATTAACACTGAACACACCAACCAATTTCAACCAAACCTGACAAAGCAATAGAGGTCTCCAGAAAAAGAAGTTCTTCCAGTTTAATGAAAAGGGTGGCAGAGAAGAGGAGCAAGACCTTGGCAGGGACCCACTGCGCGAAAGAGTGGAGCATGAGCTCACCTTCATACAGCATCAAAGAATGAATACAAGAGAGTGTTGTCAGAAATACCACAAGGACAAGCTTTGTTCAGACCTCAGATTTAACTAGGCACCAAAGAATCAAAATCTGATACACCAATCCATAGGAAAATATTAGGGCCTTTATTTACAGGGCTTTCGTGTATTCTACATTATGGGAACACAATGCAGAAACTAAGCCTTCCCAAGTGATCATCTGGAATCACTCATCCTCGTGCTTTCTCTCTCTTACCTTTTTCTCCATATTTTTTTTCTTTTTAAATGAAGTGGAACAGCTTCAGTAGCAAAATGCACTCAACTCAGAGTCATAATGATAGTTACAATGCTTTGTCAGGAACTGAGGTGGCTGAGAAGCAATGTTTGTATTTTCAGTAGTATCCAATGTCAGCTGGAAAGATGTCCTGGTCTAGCTGACAGTGTGGCCATAGAAGCAGTCATCATAACTCAAGCCCAGCAGTGGGAACATTTGGCTTAAGACAGCAGTAATGTGTAGAGGGGCAAGAGCAGGGAAAATGCCTACCCATCCATGAGCAGCACACATGGACTGAAAAAGTGCACCCTTAGCTCTCCAGGTGATATCTCTGATTTTAAATGTAGCTCCAAATAAGTTTTCTACTGTGCTCCCTAGGTTAGATCCCATCACCGGAATTACTGCTATGTATGAGTATTGCTAATGTAGTCATTAGCAGATCAATAAGTTTGAGTAAATTTGACTGAAAATGAAGAGGCTCAGAGCTTAAACCCTAATGCCTTGGAGATTTCTCTCAGATCAGTAAACATGCAATGAATGGTAGAAGAACAGAGATTTTGATATATTTTGCCCACCTCTTT